TACATATGGATTTTCATTATGAATAGGTTCACTCATTTTCATGTTCTTATCCAACAGACATGAAGGTCCAAACCACCACAAATCCTGATTGATAAAATTGTTTCCTAAGACACCTGTAGATGCTAGGTCAGCAGGATTATCTTCTGAACAAATGTGATTCCAATCTGATGTGTTGGTGAGGGATTGAATTTGTGACACTCTGCTGCTTACAAATGTTTTCCATGTGTTTGGGGGTTTTGAAATCCATGCCAGCACAACTGTAGAGTCAGTAAATAAATAAGTGTTTGAGGTAGGTAAAATTGGTTTTACTTTGTCAACTAGTTGAGCTAATAGCACTGCGCCACATAACTCCAGCCTGGGGATTGAAACTTTCTTAAGTGGACATACTCTTGACTTAGCACAGATCAATAATTGAACTTGTACATTTGATGTTGAAACACTTCTGAGGTATAAGACTGCAGCGTATGCCTTTTCTGAAGCATCGCAAAAACCAAATAATTCATAGATAACTTCAGACCCAAATAAAACTAATGGTCTGGGTGTCTGAAGATTCTTGAGGTGTGACAAATTGTTACAATATTGAACAAATTCATTAGATAATTCATCAGAAACTGTCTCATCCCAACCATTATTGCATAACCAGGTTTTTTGCATGATGAGTTTTGCTTTGGTTATTACTGGACACAATAGACCTAATGGATCGAATAGACGGGCAATTTCAGATAAAATTTTACGTTTAGTTATTTTGCTTGGTAAGTCAGGTAAATTAATTGAATACTGATAAGTATCACTTTCGGGATTCCACAGAAGTCCTAACAGTTTGACTGAAGAGTCTTCTGATTGAAATTGAAAAATGGTTTGACTTGGTGTTATTTCATCTAGAACTTCTTTGGCGTTAGATGACCACTTGCGCAATGGAAGCCCTGCTTGATTTAGTGTTTGAACTAGTTCATTTTTTATGGATAAAGCTTGATCTACAGTATTGGCTCCACTTACAAGATCGTCAACATAAAAGTCTTCTTTCAATATCCTAGCCAATTCAGGAGAATAATCCTTAATGTGGTCAGATAGTTGATGTAAACAACGTATGGATAAGAATGGTGCGCATGATGTTCCATAAGTAACTGTGTTAAGGTCATAAGACTTAATCGGTTCTTCTGGTGATGATCTCCAAAGTATTCTTTGATAGCATTGATCAGATTTGCTCACTAAAATTTGCCTGTAAAACTTCTCAATGTCTGCCGTAAATACAATTTTATACAATCGAAATCTAATTAGCAAATTCATTATGTCAGTTTGAAGTTTTGGACCAGTATACAGATGATCATTCAATGATGTACCTGATGTTGTTTTGCATGATGCATCAAAAACAACTCTGGTTTTAGTTGTTGAACTCGAATCTCTATATACTGCATGATGAGGTAGATAGTAGTGTTTGTTACTGTCAATGGATGATAATTCGCTGGGTGTTTGATGCATGTGACCTAAATCAATGTATTCTTTCATGAAAGACTGATAACTTTCACGTCTGTCAGAAGTGAGTGTCGATTCTAGTCTTTTAAATCTGCTTAATGCTGTTGAATAAGAATCACCAAGCTCAGTAATTGATGGTTTAAAAGGAAGACAAACACAAAATCTTCCGGATTCATCTCGAGAATGTGTGGTCAGAAAATGATTTTCACAATTGTCATTATCTTGCAATTGAGAAGTAGGTTCATGATTGACCTCTTCTATCTTCCAAAAACGCTCTACTGCAGTGTTTATGTCATTGCTTTGAATAGATAATCTGAATGAATGAATACCTTCAGATGATGGATCTGATAATCTTCCTGACAACAAGTAACCTAGTTTGGAATTGATAGCTGATGGAGTGTTTTCTGGACCTCTAACTATACCATCTATCAATAGATTTACGTAAATGTCAGCTCCTAGAATGATATCTATTTGACCTGATTGGTAGAAGTATGGATCAGCAAGTTCAAGGTTTTGAATATGAAACCAATGATCAATGGATGTGTTGAGTGAGGAAACGTTAGTTAGCTTGTTCAAGATGTATGCTGTAACTTGAATGTCTGTATCTTGCTTGGTTTGAATGAAAAGTGATGTTAATCCTCGTGTATAACCAGCATGGCTGTTACCTACTCCGTGGACTGAAACGTTGAATGGTTGTCGTGATAATCCTAACTTTTGAAAACAGGTTTGAGAAATGAAGCTTCCCTCACTCCCGGGATCTATCAAAGCCCTACAGTATTGATACTCACCCCAGCAGTCCTTTACCTTGATCCTGGCTGTGGACAGCATCACTCTTGTAGGAGAACCAATGCCTGCTGATAATAGTTTTGTACTATTACTACATTTTGGATTATTCTTTTCTTCTGATTTGCTGGAACCACTGTTGTGTGAGCTAACTTCAGGTTTGGGCTTAGCTTGAAATCCTGTGTCAAGTTTATGCTTAGAACTAACTTTAGGGTCTAATTCTGGCATACACTCTTTAGAGATATGTAATAAGGTATTGTGTGCTCTGGAGCAGACCTTGCATTTGGATGCTTTGCAAGTGTCAACCATGTGAGTAGCCGATAAGCAATTGAAACATCTATGAAGCTGTTTGACCTTTTGAATTCTATCATAGGGTTTGAGACTTAAAAACTCTGTACATTTAAACAAGGGATGATCTTGTACACATAAAGGACAACTCTGTGTAGTACCTTTAGATATTTCAGTTGAATTTGTCCTAATGTGTCTAAATACATTAGTACCTTTGCTGGTATCTTGACTTGTTTCTAAAGCTTGAATATACTGATTAAGAAATTGTTCCAATTGTGTGAAAGTGCCTACTTCTTTGGTTGTATTACTCAATTCCCATTTGGTTCTTAAATTTTGATCTAATTTTGATGTTAGCAAATGAACTAGTAATACATCCCACTCCTCAGTCTTGTACCCAAGGTTGTTCAATGCCCTCACATTTACATTGGTGATGTCTAATAAAGATTTCAAATCTGATAGTGAGTTTACATTGGGCAGTGAAAACAAAGCTTTAAGGTGAGTGTTAACAATTATTTTCTTGTTGCAATACCTCTCTTTTAAGAGTTCAATCGCAACTAAGTAGTTGGACTGAGTCAGGGGCAAAGTTGAAAGGAGATTTAAAGGTTCCCCTTTCAAACATGACTTGAGGTAGAAAAACCTTTGCACATCTGATAAACATAGATTTGCATGAATCGTTGATTGGAATAGGTCGTAAAATGAAACCCAATTTTCATATTTTCCATCAAATGGAGTTTTAAAAAATTGGATTCTTGTGACACATTGCCAATTGAACTACCAGAACTTGAATGATTCAAATCAGGCCTTGAAAGATTCTTATTTGTATTCAAAATTTCCTTGAAAGCTACTTTTACCATGTAGTAATTTTCTTCGAATTCATCAAAACTGTTGTCAGTTTCATCTAAAGTGATTGCAACTATTTTGCTGTGAATGTCTGTGAATTCACTGTACAACTGTTCTAACTTTTCATTTCTAATTTCAATATCTAATAAATTACCTGTATTGATGTCAAAATTGTTCACAAAGGTCTTCATTTTTGAGAGAGAGCCTTTGATTGAAGCTCTCTTGTTTTGTAGAAGCCTAAGTTCTGCCATGATTGTTTGAAATAAAAATTAAAACTTACTGTGATGATTCAATGAACTGTAGAAAAATAAATCCGTTGGCTCGAAGGACCATGTTTGTTTTGTTGTGAACTGATGTTCTTGAAATGATTATTTGATAGAAAAAATGTAGATTAAATTAAAAACACTGTGATGTGAACAAAAGAATGTGTATTATTATTGAAAACTGTTTACAAAAATTAATAATGATTAATAACATGTGTTAATGACAAAAGTACAAGAGAAAAATGTGTATACAGACCAAGGGATAAAATTAAATGATTTTAACAATATCTTTGATCAGGCTTATCAAATTTCAAAATGGCGGCCATTTAAAATCTTAAAAGTAAAATTCAATTAAAAACAGCCATTAAAACAAAATTCTAAATGGCCACCATTTTGAAATTTGATGAGCCTGATCAAAGATATTTTCGGAGAATTTTATTACGTGTAGCCTTAAAAATTATAAAGAGATATAGTAAAAAAAGAGATACTTTTATGAAACTTTGTATTACAAAGTTTCATAAAAATATATCTAAGGGTTTTTGAAATATTAATTATTTTCAAAAAAATACAAAATGTCAGATTACGGCTAAACTAAGCCGAAATCGAAAAAAAGTTATTCTATATTTTCGACTTATTTTTGCATGTAGAATCTGAACCTGCATAGCCGGCTACGCTTTACCGTAACACCCTGTATAACTAGGGGACGAGTTATTGTTTATGATCACGTCGTTTTATTTGACATCATGCTTATGTGATCAAATAATAATTGTGATATATTTTGTTCTGGCCAATGTTTATATATAAATAAACTCTTTTCATAATATAAAATTTCTTATGAGATTTACTTTTGACACAGTCTGTAAAGTGTGAGCAAGTACGTAGATTAATTATATCTGCTTATAAAACCTCCTTACGTTCGTTACAATCAATTATCCTCGGAATATTTCCACCAAACTAACTTAGCAATAAACGGCGAGAGCAGGCGCGACGCTCATCACTAGGGTGAGCCATGCCTTTATTCCCACTCCTTGCGGACAGGGCTAGGTAGTGACGGCCCGTTTTTCGAGCCCTACTTCAACCTGAGCGCGCAATCCAGGGAGTTATTATACATTGATGGTCTTGATACACAAATAGCTATTGTTTGTTATTTCGTTATTCTTGTTACTATTATTATTATTCCTATAGTATACTATTAACAATAGTTAACTATTGTTATTGTTGTTCATATAATTGTAGTTATTGTTTGTTGTTTTATGTTTTGAATGATTTTTCATTCCACCAATATATATGGTATTGTTATTAATAGTTTTGTGTGTATATGATTCTTATGTAATAGATTTTTTCTTGTTTCAGGTGCTTCACTGAGAAGACTTATATACTGTGCATGTAGTTTTACAATTATCACCAGTTTATGTACATGTTCTGTATCAGAACAAGTGTTTAAAGTTAGTATTGTGTAATATATGTTGTAAAGATTGTTTAAATGTGCATTTGTAATTTGTATGTTAAAATATGTTGAAGTTTATCGCCTGTTTGTTAGAAGAATGTAACAGCCTAGTTGTAAAACCATTTGATTTGATTCAGATTGAAATGTCCTGAATGGAACAGTCACAATGTAAATAGTTCCTTAGGCCTTAAAGATTTTTGTGCCATCTGTATTTATATAGGTATTTACTATCAATGTCCTTGTTCAATGTTCAAAAAACTTAACAAAAATTTGTTTGAGGTTGAATGTTATTACTTTGCATATGAAATAACAAGTCTTTTTGCATAACCGAACCAATTAAATAGTAATATGAATATTCAAGTCTAGTTAAAGAATAAATTCCTGTAAAACTGTAATTTTAATTTATATTTTTGTTATTCAATAAGTATAAAATAATTACATCAATAGTAAACAACATCAATTTGTTGTTAAAGGTATTGTTCATCCCGATATTTCTTTAAAAAACTTGTAGACTTCCAAAGTTCACAATTTATCTGAGGAGGATCAAAGTGTATTTTCATGCTTGTCGTTCCAAGTTAAATTTCCATAATTTATATTATTTATATTTGCGTGTAAATGAAGAGCAGCAAATTGTAAGAGGTTTATTCATATGATGCCAAAAACTAATTTAAAAAAAAACTTGTTTTAATAAAGTTTGAATGTTTTTCATATTTGTTTTTTATGTTAGTCCTAAAAAATTAAAATACTTTGAATTTATACTTCCTGTGTATTTTGGTATTTAGTGGAAATAGTCCGGTCAATAAAAGGATTGGAGAGGGGGAAAATTTTTTTCTGCGGGAATGTGTTCGGGGTAGTTATAAGATAAAAACACCAAAAGTCCCCGCCCCTGGCCCTGCTGCTTCAGCGGGGGGAGGGGGGAATACCCCTTTTTTCAGGTTTTTACTTCTACACTGAAAAACGTGCATCGTACGGACAAAATATAAATTATAAAAAGAAACATGATAAAATTCTCTACAAGAAATGTCATATTCATTTCTTCTGCACGGTATATGCGTTAGTTTCCAAGATATTCTCAAAATAATATAGAAATTCTTTTATAAATAGATTTTTCTCGTGTTTTTTTGTTGAGAATAACAGAATAAGTTTATATAATCAATTAGCCTGTTGTTTTACATTAATCAGGATAGAACACAGGTTTTAGAGCACTAAACTATATAATATAATATATATATATAACTAGCTGTTGTACCCGTGCTTCGCAACGGAGAAGCAAAAAAAAAAAATGATCTTGAATTCCGTTATATAAAATAGTTACACATTCCCCTTTGGTTTCAGGAACATATTTCAACTGAAACTCTTAGTTTGAAAAATATCTTTCTTTAAGGCTAATAAGGCTACCTAGAAAGAGTTATATGAGGCGCTGATGTATTTATGGAAATAATGTAGGTACCCATAAGATTCAATTTTGAAATGATAAGCTTATCTAAACATTTATTTCGTTGAAAAACGTACATATAAAGTAAATAAGGAAAATAATCGCACAACATAAAGGTCACTGTAGTAAAGCAAGAAAACAGTTTATATTGATTTCACTATTCATTTTGATATAATTGATATATTTTTCCATATCCACTGAGCTTTTTTCAAAGTGTAATCTTCACCTGCAGATCAGTGTGTATATATCACAATAATAAGCAAAAACAAACTAATGGAAAACTTGTATTACCTTGTGTTAGAAAGCCAACCACTATTATTGTTAACCAGGGCACAAATTGCATTAAGTTAATGTATAAATCAACAACATAATAAATAACAGTTATTATTTTAAATCACTCCATAGTTCAAAACGTGTATATATTTGCATTAACTTACATCAAAATATTTAAAACATTGAGTAAAGAAACATAGTTACGTTACAGATATTTAATTGATTTTAGAAACAAAACTGAATTGCTTGCAGTTTAGCTTTGGGATATTGTCCATAGTCAGCGAGCTGGTCTAGTGGTTAGAGCTCGGGACTCCGGTTCCTGGGGTCCCAGGTTTAAATCCCGCCAAATCACTATTCACTAATGGATTTTATCTAAGTGATAATGCCGTAACCCCTAGGTCTAGCCTGAAGTAATGTGAAAAACAATTCCGGGCTCGTGCCTAGCGTCATAGGAAGAAAGAAATAAGTTAGTCAAATTAAAGCAGTGTTGTAAAAACACAACTCTACTAAGGAGATTTCTGTAAATGTAAAAAAAGCGAATGTGAAGTAGATAGTAGAAGAAAATATAAGAGGTAGCTAGACTTCTATCTCTGGACAGAATAAAAGTAACTTAGGTATAGTTGATATTTAGTTTGTAAATTGAATTAAAACACAAATAAAAGTGTAAACATTGAGTTAGTTGAATTTTTAAAACTGTAGGCCTACCTGTACATATATCTCATAGTTTTAATTTAAAACCTATTAATCCTGATCTAAACATTTTTTATGAGTTCAAATTTGTTTACAAAAAGCTACCATATCAAGATTATTCCAAATAATTTATACATTTTAATGATTCTTTTGTTTCCATGAAAATAAGTACATTTTCATAAATATTTTAATCAAACTATTCTCATAAGCATAAAACTTTAGAATCTTGGGAGCAGAACTTAATTATAGTATTTACAGCTGACTTCAATTAATATTTTTACTATTTACATTCTTCCAAAATGTAAACATTAAAACTTTGGAAGCCCATGGGGCGTAACCCAAGGGAATTATAATAACAGGAATATGCCTATAAGTTAACCAGGTATAAGCTACCTTCATACAAAATTTTATTTCAATCGGTTCAGTGGTTCTTGTGTTATAAAGTAACAGACAGACACACAAACACACACCATCTCATTTTTATATTAGTATAGATAATATATTATATATATCTGTCATGTATATTGTGTTAAAAATAGTTCATATAAATTTAAATAAGTTGTGTATATTTGTCATGGAAACAATTAATTTTAACATAATTATTACACTAAAATGAAAAATTATTTCTGTAGCTAAATTTGTGCAGTATTATTTTTGACAATTACCAAAACCAAGACCTAATGCCATTATTCATGATCTGGCTCACTTGGGACGAGAGGGCCAGACTTCTGTCCTAAAAACTGGTGCCATCTGGAACTGAGAACCTCCATGTATAGTGAGGTGATTATAGGCAGTGTATATATACTTCATCTTCCTTATTCATCAGAATGGGCATTCCATGTAAACAGTTCCCTTAGCAGTTCTGGCATTACGGAGAACAATATTGGACATTTTCTTGCATGCACAAATTGCTCATCTGGCACTGTTACAATCTTTAGTACATTTGCAAAAAACTTGGTTGGGGATTAAATGTTTCTGGTTATTTCGGTGTCTCTGTTCAAATGAATATCTACTGACCAGTGGCGGTCCCTGGGGGGGGGATGGAAAGTATATATCACCTTCAAAATATTTTATTAGCTAACATAAATATTATTAGCTTGAAGATTTTTTAGAGCTCAAATACATATAAAAATACGTTATGCTTTCAATTCCACATTTTTTTTCTGGGGGGGGAGTAGACCCCCCAAAATGAAATCCTGGGACCACCACTGCTACTGACTTTTTCAATCTGTAGCGTCTTTCTGGATCTGTCATCTTCGCCCTGTTTTCTGCTATATCCGTCAAAAACAATAATGCATTACCTTACAGGATAATGGGTATCCACGTACCTCACGTATCCATCACATATCGCAGACACTGAAGATCCCCTTTGCCAGATAACCTTATGAGTGAGAAATCCCCCATCGATAACCAAATTTAAAAGTTGTTAACTATTGTTGGTTGCTTCCAAAGAACTTGAACAGTACAGCCTTTTTGGTCTTTCTCATACCACTCTTATTAAATAAAGTGAAATGGAGCAAGTTCAAATCGTTAATAATCCTTTAAATCTTTATAACTTTGTTTTACTTATACAAATGCTAAATGGTTTGAAACAGAATCAAAGGTTTTGCTGCAACGTTTTAGTCATTGATATTGATGGTTGAACTCAAAGAGGACAAAGTGAGAGCCCAATTTTTCTGTGACAGCTTGATGTCTCAAATGATCATGAAATTTATGAAACATCCGTCTATGCTAAACAAATTCAATTGTCTTCCACTCCAAATAATACTGGTGTCCATAACACTAGATTTAAAATAGTTTTACCATGGCATAATCTGGAATTATTTAAAAAGAAAAGTTACTATTCAGGGTTAACATTTTTACAACACCTACCGGCTCCTTTAAAGATAGAAGAAAATATAAATAAATTCAAACGCACACTAAAAAAGTTTTTAATTCAATATCCTTATTCTATAGAAGAGTTTTTTAAGCACAAAAATCAGCATATAATATTAAATTTGAATTCCATAACATAACTAAGGGAACCTATTTTTTTGTATTTACTTTTTTTATCTTCACGGTGCTCTGAAATACATTATTGTTTTTATTTTATGTAAGCCCTCGACTAAATATGTTTACTTTCTAATGTTATTGACTTGACTATTCAACACATGTACTCTGTGTTTTATTGAATAAAGAATGATTTGATTTTATTTTATTACCATTTGATTAATTACTTGCTGACCACGTAATACAGCATTGTAACAGTTAACGGATTCATCTCCTACAATCCCAGATGATATTGACATGATGTCTTCAGTTTCAGGGAAGAGTGGGTGATTTTCAAACATTGCCTTCAGTTTAGAAATTTATGACATTTCATCATTTGTATAATTTCATCAAGGAGAACTCTGGAAAACCCACTGCCCTCAGAAATGTGGGATTGGGAGCGCAAAAAAGGTAGTCTTTTCCCAGTTTTAACCAATGAACCACCTAACCCTTGAGAAATCTTGTGCTTGTTTTTTGCAAATATACTAAAGACTGTAGCAATGAAAGATATACATACAAGGAAATGTCCATTAATCGTTCCTCGTTGGCCGTTATGCCAGAACTGCTAAGGGGACCGTTTAAATAGAATGCCAATTCTGATAAATGAGGAAGATGAAGATTATATACACAGCACTCTCACATCGATAGCAAATATTGAGTCTAATAAACAAGAATTGGATTAAGGAGATGCCCTCGATGGCGATTCTCAGATCCAGATGGCACCTGTTTTCGAGGCTGTGAAGTCGGACCCTCTCGTCCTAAGTAGGGATGGACGGGATTGAATTTTTAGTTCGGGATGGGACGGGACGGGATTTTTTTCTGTGCATAAAAAGAAAGTACTGTATTGCAGTTACCAAAATAGACATACAAAATAAATTTTTACCATTTGTGGTGGCACTGATCTATAAAAACAAAAAAATGGGTAACAATTTCGGAGTGATCGTCTGTATGACTCACGGTCACGGCGCGATCGTCGTCATGACTCGCGGTCACGGCGCGATCGTCGGTATGACTCGCGGTCACGGCGCGATCGTCGGTATGACTCGCGGTCACGGCGCGATCGTCGGCAGGACTCCGCGGTCACGTCGTGATCGTCGGTATGACTCGCGGTCACGGCGCGATCGTCGGTATGACTCGCGGTCACGGCGCGATCGTCGGTATGACTCGTGGTCACGGCGCGATCGTCGGCAGGACTCCGCGGTAACGTCGTGATCGTCTGTATGACTCGCCATCACGGCATGATCGTCAGTATGACTCCACGGTCACGGCGCGATCGTCGGTA